AACATACAGCTGAAACTTACTGGATTTCGTTAACCAATGTTACCATAAAATGAAGGAAGGGAAGGAAGGAAGGAAAAGAATCAACTCAAAATGGATTAAAGACTTAAACGTATGACCTGAGAGCATAAAGCTCCCAGAAGAAAATATAGGGAAAAAGTTCCTTGACATTGGTCTTGGCAATGAATTTTTGGATATGACACCGAAAGCACAGAAAACAAAAGCAAAAATAAACAAATGGGACTGCATTAAATTAAAAACCTTCTGCACAGCCAAGGAAACAATGAACGAAATGAAAAAACAACCTTTGGAATGGGAGAAAATATTCGCAAACTATCTATCTGATATGGGGTTAATATAACCAAAATCTATAAGAAACTCACACGACTCAATAGCGAAAAATACAAATGAAAGCAAAACAAACCAACAAAACCCCCAAAGAACCCAATTTAAAAATGGGCAAGTGACCTGAACAGATTCAGAATATTTTGCCATTGCCCCAAAAAAAAAAAAAAAGACAGAAAAAAAGACATAGGAATGGCCAGCAGGTATGTGAAAAGGCGCCTGACATCGCTAATCATCAGGGAAATGCAAATCGAAACCGCAGCGAGGTAGCCCCGTGCCTGTCACGATGGCGTCATTAGAAGTGCCGGCCAGGACGTGGAGAAGAGGGTGCCCTCGTGCCCTGTTGGTGGGAGTGTCAGCTGGTACGGCCACTATGGAAAACAGTGTGGAGCTTCATCGAAAAACTGTGTCCACTGAGCATTTCGCCATAAAGATCCCGAATGTCTGTGTCCCGAAAAACTATTGAACGGATGAGATGAAACATGGGTCTAGGAGAGGCCGCCCACCCCTGCGAAACGGGGCTGCACTGCGCGCCCCTGCTCATAGCACCTTTAATCACGACGGCTAAGAGGCGAGAGCAGCCCGAGTGTCCATCAGCGTATGGATGGACAGACAAAACGGAGTCGCCGGTCGGGAGACCAGGAGCAAGGGGCTTTGCCTCCCTGGAGCTCGGATCCCTCACACCAACAACGCCGTGGCAAACGGTGATGCTACCTGCTCTTGCGGGCTATGAAAATTAACCCGTGGCCGCGCTTCGAAGCGTATTCCTTTGCAAAGTGGCTGAATCGAGCCGCTTCCTAGCAGGAGCTCGGGTGTCTGTGGCGGGCTGTCGTCTCCATTTTATGGGGGGACACATGAAGGCTCGGGTGACTCCGGGGCTGGGCCGGGTCCCCTCTGTCTCCTCCAGCCTCCCGCATCCCTCTGTCGCCCCATCCTCCTGCTTACTTGGTCCACATGATGGACGACTCGCGGCTCTCCTCCGACCAGATGCGGGCGGTCCAGTCGCCGACGGTCAGGAAGTTCTTCGGGTAGAACGGGTTTCTCTGCAGAGCGTAGATGGGGCCGTGGTGGCCGGAGAAGGTGCACACGATCTTCTCGGCCGGCGTTTTGGCCTTGCGGTTGCAGGAGATGACGATGCCTTCCTCAGTGCCCACCATGAACTTGGTTGGCTGCGGAGGCGGTGACACAGGAGCGGAAGGCCCCGTGAAATGTCGTCTCGGGGCCTAGCCGGTGAGCAGCCTTCTGGGGTGGACCTTTGGCGGACGCCTCTGCTCGGGCTGTGCCCCACCTGCTCCCAGGGAGCTGCCCCTGCCTCCGCCTGGCTCATCAGGTCCCACCCTTCCTTAGGACCTGCTCAGGGGCCAAATGCTGATGAAGCACCCCTCCCCCTGCCCCTGACTCTTCTAATCCCTGGAGACCCTCATCGCCAGCCTTCTTCATTCAGCACTATTGTGTCCACAGAAAGACCCTGAATATCTGTGTACAGATAAAATAAATTATTGAATGAATAATGTAAGTCGTGTCTAGGAGAGCCCACACAGCCCTCCAGCCGCTCCCTGCAAAACTGGGCTCCTGCGTCCACCTGAGTTCATAGCAACGGCATATTCACAACAGCCGAGAGGAGAAAGCAACCCCTGGGTCCGTGGACGAATGAATGAACGAACAAAACCCGGTCTATCCATATGACGGGATATTGTCCCGCCTTAAAATGCCTGCTGCAATGTGATGAACTTGGAGGGCATTATGCCGAGTGAAATAAGCCAGTCACAGAGAGACTTCATCCAGGTACCTGGAGGAGGCGGAGTCATAGAGACAGGAAGTAGAAGGGGCTGGGGGAGGGGGAAATGGGGAGCTGTGTAATAGGGACGGTGCGGGGTTTTAGTTTTGTGAGATGAAAAAGTTCTGGCGATTGTTCACAGCAGTGTGAATGTACTTGGCACTACTGAACCGTGCACTTAAAAATGGTTAAGATGGTTAATTTTATGGGATGTGTTTTTAAAATCACAATTTAAAAAAATAACTGGGCTACAAGTTGGGGATTAAAGGAACGTGAAGAGAGACACAGCTTGAGAGGCCCGGAGAAGTGATCGAGTCAGTGGCAGGGCTCCTGCACGCTAGCAAGGGACATAAGGCATCCGGACCTGGGTGGCCTGTCATGCCTCCAGCCTGTGACCTCTGGAGAGCCTGGCCCTTGGAGGCAGAGCCCTGGTTTGAGCCCCAGCTTCGGGTTCTAAGAGCACATGACTTAACCTCATGAAGACTCGCTGTGTTTATCCGAGTGAAGCAGAGATGATAAAGTTACCTCACAAGATGGTCACAGGCAGTTACGTAAGCTCGTCATGTAAGGCCATTACGAGTGTCCAGCATACAGTGTACACTCGGTGACAGGCACGGGGGCGGGGGGTGGGGTGGGGTTGTGGCGGCATAGTCACTCCGTCTAGCACTTGGCCTAAAAATCCCAGATTCCAAGACAGAATGTTCTTCTGAGTCCTCCCCGCCCTGACCTCTATGCCTTAAATTGTCCTTGGCCTCGCCCCGTAGGCACCGCAGGTGAGGGCTCCCAGGGTGGGGGTGAGGCCAGAACACCTCCACCTCCCAGGGGCCTAGGACGGATATCACTTGACCTGGGGGCAAACCAGTGACAATCCTGCGGGAGAGCTGGGCCCAGTCTCCAGTGAGACATGAACCAGGAACCAGACCCAGCCAAGAGTCATCTGAGAAAGTTGTTTCCTTGACTCGGAGGGAGCCTTTATTGGCTGCTTCCAGAAGCTTCCCTCCTCTGACACAGTCACATCACCGCTCCACTTTGATACTTGTTTGCCGTTCCTTCTCAGTTACTAAACGCTATAATTAAGCCCGGGCTGCGGTTTTCCTACCAGTCTTCTCTGATCTCATTTCCTTCTCCGACACCTCTTCCTTCCCTACAGGAAGTGAAGGGACCAGCCCAGGGTCCCACGCAAGGCAGAGGCTAAGCCTGGCCTCCTCAACTTGGTCCCAGGCAGGCGTCCTAGGAGCCAAACAGTGACTTCTTGGGCATTAGCACGGTCTCCTTCCTCAAGAAGCTCTGCTGCCCCCTTCTGGAGAGGTGCTGTAAAGGCCGCATCGGATGATGCTCCCTGGAGCGGCGCCCAAGGTAGGCAGCAGCCTGGGGTCCACGAGCATCTGGTACAGCAGCCCTGGCCTGCCCTTGGCTCTGGCTGCCCCAGCAATGGAAGCCAGGGGAGGAGGAGGAAGAGACACTCACCAAAGTAGACTCGAACTCCAGGGAGATGGCCCCCAGGGCATTTTCCAACTGCTCCTTTCTGGTGATGTCCATGACCACCACCTCGGTGGGCTCGCTCAGCTTCCGGATATCCCACCACATGACCTGACAGGAGGAGGGGCAACCCTGAGACCCCAGGTCCTGCGAGTCCCCTGGCTTGTGTCCCTCTCATCCCCTCCAACTCCCCGGGGCCAGTCGCTGGGGTCAAAAGGGCATGCCATAGAGGCTACTGGCAACCCATAGGAACAAATACACTTTGACCATGGCTGCTCTGGTCCACAGCGACAAACCTGGCTGGTCCATCAGAGTCACGTGCAAGTGTCATAAAATCCAGATGCCGGGGCCGTATCCCAGACCTACCGCATCGAGATCATCGGGTGTGAGCCCCAGCATCTGGATTGTTAAAGGCTCCCCCACGGCATGGCAATCTATGGCCGTATTATAAATACACGTGTGCTTCGATCCAGAAATCCCACGCCAGCAACGCCGGCTGCAGACGCAGCTTCCCGTGGGCGCGGTGGTCTACGGACAAATATACTCTCTGCTACATTTTTTGGTAAAAAACGGAATATTAAAATTCACTTAAATAAATTACGGCACACTCAAGGTAATCCTTAACAGGCACGGTGGCAGCGCTTTATGCAATATGAAATCATCTCCCAGATATACTAAACGAAGACCATCGGGTGCGGACCGACGCGTAAGTTTGCAAAAGGAAAGCGCAGAAGAGAGATGTGTTCCGGGCTGCAGGCGGAGGCCAGCCCGGAAGCAGACACGGAGCTGAGAAGCCCCAGGGGAGGGTGACTAGGGCGAGGCTTGTGGGCGGAGGCGGGAGGAAGCGTCTCCCCGTGTGCCCGCTTCCACCTTCTGGATTTTGTTTCGTGTGCACGTAACACCTACTTTTTAACTTATAAATAAGATGCAAAAACAAATGCTCCCGGGTGATTCTGGGAACCGGGAGCGACCACGGTCCCTGCCCCCTGGCCCCCTGTGGCACCTGGCCTGGGGGTACCTGGCCATCCGTGGACGCCGAGAAGCACTCAGTGCCCGTCTTCGACTGCAGCCAGATGGTGCCGTACACAGGGTCTCGGTGACTGAACTCGATGGTGGACAGCTCTGCCACCAGGCTGCCTTTGCGGGTGTCCCAACAGGCTGGCAAAGAAGAAAGCGAGGGGAAGGTGAGCAGCGACACAGGCTTCGTTCCCTGGAGGGAGAAGGTTTGGCAGGCACGTGGGGTTTCTTTTTTAGAATCGGGGTTAGGTTCAAACCAGCCGGAGTTTCCACCGGCCCGCAAAGCCCCCAAAGGGTCTCCGAGGAAAGAGCCCCAGAGTCCAGGCTCCGTTCATTCCGCTGCGCCCCTACCACGTGTGGAGTACCCCCCTGGGCCCCGCGGAAGCCACAGCGGATAGGACCGGCACAGTCCCGGGGAGGCAGGAAGGGGATCCGCAAGTGCAGCCCGTGTAGTGATTGCTCTGGGGGGGGGGGCTGTAGTCAGGGAAAGCTTCCTGGAGGAAGTGAGAAGGGAACCAAGACCAAGGATGAGCCTGGGATGGAGTGGTCAGGCAAAGAAAGAGGAGCACCTCCACCTCAGCGGAAGGCTCCAGAAAGTTGGAGGTTTAGGCGACTCTCTGCTGCTGCATAAACTATTCCCTTTTATCCTCTATATCTTTGCCACCTCTGGTGGGGGGGAAAAAAAAATCTCATGGAAGGAGCTTTCCACTTTACTTTGAGCCCTTACTGTGCTTCACCTCTCCTGCTTGGCCAGGAAGGACTCAAAGCTCATCTACTTTTCGTCCTAATAAGCTTTGTTTACATTTCCCCACGAGTGTACAGCACGGACCCACTCCGTGGCTCAGAGCTGTTTCTAGGAAAGCTTGATTTTGTGAAACAACAGTAAAAGTAGTTGATCCTTACGTGTTGATTTAGAGAATCCAAGTCTAAAGCGTTTGCCCTGGACCCAGATTAAGACTACACTGCTTGGCCAAAGCAGCGCTTACAGGCAGCAGAGCGTCAGAGCCCGGGCTGGTCTGAGCTGGTGTGAAAAACCACAGAAAGGGGTTATGAATAATGAGTGAGGCAGGGCTCCTGAATAAATCATGGCAAAGTGGTTCTGCTTCCATCTTTTAGAGGCCTGGCACCCAGGTAATTTGGCAGGGAGATTTGTGGGCGCTCACGTCTATTCCATAACCCGGCAGCTGCTCCGGGAAGGGGCGTCGGAGGCCTCAGAGGGCCAGGAGGAGTTACCCAGCCATTCCAGCCCCTACGCCCGGAAGAAGGAGGGTGGGGACCCTTTCCACGCCCCCTTGAGTCTGGCCTGGGGTGTCCGGCTGCCTCAGGGCCAGAGGTGGAGGGCAAGCAGGAACATACAATGAGAAAACTGACAAAAATGGTAGGAATCAACTTTTTCAGAGCTCTGGAAATTAGCCAAAGTTCTTGCAGCAGTCCAGACAGTGCTGATTCCAGAAGGACTGCTGAATCGCGGTAAGAACAGCGAGCTCGTTGCGTTTTCACTTGGCCTACTTAAGATCCCACACTCTTCAGTTCCGTGATAGCCTTGAAAAATAACGCTCCGCATCCCTGGTGAAAACCAGTGGCCTGGCAGCCACAGGAGGGGGTGTGGAGTGGGGCCAGAGCCCTCTGTCTCCTGCCCAACGACTTGTCATCGTTTGACCTGGTGGCTGGCTCCCTGGAAGACCCCACTTTGCAAGGTCGTCTATATTCGACGGGACTCGGCGCTTGCCCAGTGAGAAAGGTCTTCTCATCGAGGCGGTTGCTGGTTAAGCTCCCTGGTCCCTCTTACCGATCTGCCCATTGTAACAGCCTCCTAGGAGCACGTGAGAATCTTTGGGGTTGTACTCCAAGGTGACGAGCGGAGAAGATGGCTTCAGGACAGTCTCAGGCTTGTTAGGGTTTTCTATAAAGCAGAAAAAAAAAAAAAGAAAAAAAAAATCTGGCCAGGCCCGGAAAGAAAAGAGCCCGGCCAAACCGTTTAACTGCTTCTCTAGGTGGGGAGTGGCGGGGCGTGGGGGGGCGGGGAACAGAGAACCTTTCTCTAAGCTGCAATCGCTGGTCCCTGGTGGCCAGAATCTCTTCTAATGGTTTAGTCTTGGGGATCGGGATTCCGCGTGTGTATATAATTACAATTCTCGTCCACTTCCCAGGTTTGAGATGGAAAGAAATTTCAACCCTAAAGTTTTTACATAAAGTCGCTCTCCCCTGACTTCTGCACACTGGTCTCCTTGTCTGTGCACTGGGGATAATGATGGAGCTCGCCCCTTGGGGTGGCTGCGTTCAGCTGCTCAGAGTGTAGAGGGCTTGGTTCTGCGCTTGGCACCCACACCTACTCATAAGGGCCGATGTTTATTCCACGCGATGACGACAATGAGGAATGTCCGAGGGCCTGCTGCCCACCAGCGCCTGCCACCTGCCAGGCTTTGGCCTTGGAGTGAGCTCCTCTGTCAACAATGGTCCATGCTCTCAGACGGACACAGGGCCCCTACTGGCCGTGAATGAAGGACAAGCACCAGGAAAGGTGGGGCAGAGGTGAGCCCCCTCCCTTCCCCTTTGAGTCCCTTCTCAGTCTGCTAGGGACTCTATCTGGTATACTCTCGAGGGGTACAGAACGGGGACTTTTGAGGGGGTCTGGTCTTGAATGCCTGGAAATGAAATGGGTTTCCTGCTCCCCAATTTAGCTCGGCTTGGCTGCACCCGAACCCCAAAAGGGAAGGAATGAGAGGCCTCCTCTCAGGTGCTTGGTCCCTCCTTGCAACAGCCCTTTGCCTGCTGCTTCAACCATCCTCTCTTGTGCTTTCATGCTTTTGCTGGCCTCTGCCCTGCTCCCTCAGCCTCCCCTGGCCACAGGGGCCCCTCTGCTTCTCACCCAGGTCCCAGATGTACGAATCATGGCTCATGCCTTCAGGTGCCCGTTGGAAATTCAAGCAAGAATATGCCACCGCCAACTTTTTGTTGCCATCAGGGTGCCAGGAGAGGTGTGTGGCTGACCGCTTTATTTCCTGGGGATCCCTTTAGGGGGAAGAGCAAGAGGGAAGAAGACTGGAGTGCAAGGCTCCCCACATTTCCTATACACCACATTTTTTCTTTTAAATATTCAAACATGTTTAAGCGTACTTAAACATTCACGCAGAGAAATTTATTTTAAAAACAAAGATTACAGGACTCCCTTAGTTGGAAAGCCGATCTCACCAGCCATAAATAAAAGCTAATAATAAAAATTAAAACCATGGAAACAAAAGATTAAATTCTAGGCTGCTGTTTTTCTTTGCTGCAAGTTCTGAGCCTGAGGCTCCATTTCCCATTAATATTAAAATAAAAAGAAGGGCGAGGAATTTAGCAATCGTGCTCCTTGGTATTTGCCCAAATGAGTCGAAAACGTTTGTCCACCCAAAACCCTGCACAAAACCTATAAACTTATGTTTTTAGCAGCTTTATTATTCATTGCTAAAACTTGGAACCGACCAGAATGTTCTTCAGTGGTTGAATGAATAAACTGTGGTCCATCCTTACTTTGGAATATTATTCAGCATTAAAAATAGATGAACTACCAAGCCATGAAAAGACATGATGGAAATTCAATGCACATTACTAAGTGAAAGAAACTGATCTGGAAAAGCTAAATACTGATTCCAACCATATGACATCTGAGAAAGGCAAAATCATGGAGACAGTGAAATGATCAGCCGTTGCCAAAGGTTTGCGGGGAGAAAGGGATGAACACGTGGAGCATGGGATTTTTAGGGCAGTGAAACTATTCTGTACGATAATTTTGTCAAAACTCATGGAACGTATGACACAGAGTGAGTCCTAATGTAAATCATGGGCTTGGGGTGTGCTATAGGCCGAAAGTTCGTGTGTCTCCCCCACCCCCACCCCAAATTCATATGTTGAAACCTAATCTCCAGTGAGATGGTGTCAGGAGCTGGGGTCTTTGGGAGGAGATCAGGGCGTGCGGTGGAGCCCTCATGCGTGGGGTTAGCACCCTTACAAATGGGGCTCCAGAGAGCCCCCTCATCCTTCCACCATGTGAGTTCCCAGAGAGAAGATGGCTATCTACGAATGAGAAAGTGGGTCCTCACCAGACACAGAACCCCACCATGCTGGCACCCTGATCTTGGGCTTCTAGCTTCCAGAACTACGAAAGATAGATTTCTGTTGTTTACAAGTTGCCTAGTTTATGGTGCTTTGTTACAGCAGGCTGAACAGACTAAGACAAGGTGACAATGATGTGTCAAGGTTGGCTCATGGATCGCGACAAAGGGACCACCCTGGGGCGGGATGGTGACCGTGGAGGAGGCTGTGGGGGTGGGAGGTACGTGTGAACTCTCTGTTCTTTCTGATTAATTTTGCTGCGGACCTAAAACTGCTCTAAAAAGAATGAACGATTAATTTAAAAGGCAAAGGCGGAGGGAGAATGAGCAAGAGTTAGCAAAGTATTAAAGACTTAATGGCCCCAAAATGAGACTTTCTCCTTGAAGTACTGAGAAGGAACGGATGAAAGTGGACACAAAATAACTCTCTCTCTGTGTGTTTCATCCCCTCCACTCCTCCCTGGGAGTGCTGTTACAGGTCAAAGAGCCTGGGCTGGCACCCACTGGGTGCCCCGAGCATGTCCCCTCCCTGGAGTCAGTGTTCTTATCTGTTAAATGTGGAGGTTGGGCGGGATGTTTTCTAGTACATCACTCAGCTTGGATATCCACGTGTAAGGTCAGACCCCAGCAGGACTGGGGCATCAGCCACAGCCCCTACCCCGTGCTGGCCCCGCTCCCACACGCCCCCTGCTGGCAACAACTGGTCCTGCTCTAAACACCACGACTCAGCCCTGGGTCTGAAAAGGGCCCTTCTTGCTGGTGCTGAGACTAGGCCAGGAACGTTCCAGGATCCTCAGTGGGTCTTGGCAGCTGCATGGCATCCACGGTGTGGGAGTCCTGGAACGGCTAGAACCAGCCCCCTACCTATGCGCTTAGCTTTCGTCTAGTCTTTGACCAGCACACAGCCTGCTGCCGTGAATATCCAGGCACACAGCGATTTCACACACACATATCTGTGCTATAGAGCCCTATTGTCAAACTGCTATCCTTAGAGGTTATTACCTGGTGTACTTCTTGTGACAGTGGGGAACGAGGCTCCTGTTGCCCTCAGCGCTGCTAGATGACTGATGTTCTGTGCTTTGTACTTACTCTGCCTGCTGCAAATCAACCCTACTTGTACACAGCTTTGTAAATATGCTTAGTCTTTTCCCAGAGTCCTCCCTTTCTACCATCAAGGCCTGTCCGCAGGATAGGGACCTCTTGTCTGCTAGGGGCTTTATTCCTTTGCCTTTATCAAGCTTGGAGCACAGAGGATCAGCAAGGAGTCGTGTTAGGATGCACCCAGCCACCCACGGAGGTGACGGCACCTGCCTAGCTATAGAAATACCTGAAAACATTGATGGTTTTAGCTGAAGGGGCCTCTTCTGTCACTTCCACTGTGTCCTCGTCATCAAAATACTCCTGGTAGATATCGATGGCATTATTCTGCTTGATGCAGTGCTCCATGATCTGAGGAGGACATATCAGGGGTTCTTAGCCGTAAAGGGAGGTCCTTTCAGACTGAACAGGGCTGAAATGAAGTCTGGGAGGGACAAGAAACACCTAGTGGTCTTTCCCCATGCTTCCGGCCCGTGCGTTTTCAATGGGGACAACATTGCCCCCCAAAAGGTGAAAATTGGTTATTGGTTATTACTGGTGAAACAATACTACTTTTTTATACACAAAGCACAGATACATACATACATACATACTTACGTATGCGCGGTATATAAACAGGTATATGGTATACCTATGGCATTAAAAATTTATGGGGGTAGGCAATTAGAAAAGAATGTTTAAAAAGGCTGGTCGGGGAACAACAATTAAAAAGTGGTGAAATACTGCTCCAGCCAAACAGAAGTATCAATGATTCCCTATGCAGCACCCATCTCCTGGTTCCTCCCCCCGAGGAGCCCTTCCCATTCTTCCAAATGTCCAGCTTGGAAAAGCCCAAGCTCAAGTGCCACCTCTTCCAGGAAGCCTTCCCTGATCCCTTCAGTAGGAAACCGACTCTCCGTCCTGATAGGCCAAAATGGCCAGCAATCAATCCCTTCTCTTACAGCATTTCTTTCTATTTTATATGGTGATATTTCTGTATCTGTCTTTGACCTCTGGTGGGTTATAAACTCTTTGGGGCAGGATGTATGTGAATTTCATTTTTTTTTGCCATCTCTACTGTACCCAGCAGGGGCAAGAAGCTTGGTCTGGGTGTGCTGAATGCATGAATGTTCCCTCTTGGCAGGTAGCTGCTGGGGTGGCGGGGGGGTTCTTTGGGGTTCTCTTTGCTCATGGGGGCCACTTTTCAGACTCCTCCTAAAGCCCGTTTAGCCCCTGCACCTCCCCACCTTCCCCTGTGGTCTGCCATGGTGGTCCTGTCTGCCTGCTCCCAGACAGAAATTTCCTTAAGGCAGCTGGTATCCTTCCCCTGAGTAACCACAGGAGCTGAGCACAGGGCCAGGTGCACCTGGGGCTTGACATGCAGCGGGGAGCCAGAGTGACGTCTGGGGCTCCGAACGCTGGAGCTGAAGGAAGCCTCACCGAGCCCAGCTGCATGACGGCATTGACATAGTTCTCATCCTTCTCCACCTTCTTCCGGAAGCGGATCGTCTGCTCCAGCTCCAGGGGGTTTATATCCTTGGGCCAGCCCCCCTCGACGTGGTTGACCCCCCGGGTCTCCATCTCGAACCGCTCGGTGTTGGCCTGAAAAGAGAGCCCCAGGTGAGGAGACGCCCCCCCGGTATAAGTGCTCAGCCACTTCTGCAAACCAGGATCCCGGGCCCCGAGCGTTCAGGGATGCACCAACGAGGTGGCCCTGGCCAAAGCCTCGGTGTTCTCAGGTACCAGCAAGGTGGCCAATCACAGGTCCTCAGGGGGGTCACAGGCAGCCATGAAAGTGCCACAGTGTATAGCTGATGCCAATGGCCACGGAAAATCTAATTCTGACCTTACCTGAACCCTAAAGGACCAGAGGAACCCACCTACCTGTTCTGTGAGATCCCAAAGGAAAAATAAGTGGATGATCTCTCTCCATCCAACCATTTACACTGTCTCAGGAATCAAAACACAGAAACAATGAAGAGTTGGGTTTGCTTTGCCTGCCCTGCTGCAGAGAGGGTGGCATCGATGCAGTGTTACCCCTTAAATTTACCACTTGGCCGCCTTTCCATTTTTTCCCTCATTTTAAAAATTATGGTCAAATCCACCATAATTTTACCCCCTCGAATAATGTGAAGCGTACAGGTCGGTGGTGATAAGGACATTCAGAATGCCTGGGGCCTGGGCCGCCGTCACCACGCCCTAGCTCCAGAAGCTTTTCATCTCGCTGGATGGAGACCTCATACCCATTAAGCAGTCACTCACTCCTTTCCATTTTTAAGCCAGCTCTCAGGAAATTTCGAAGTCTTAATGGGGCGGAGCTGCTGGCCGGAGACCCTAACAGGGTGTGGCCTCCATGGCGGTCTTCTTGTCTAGTTGGCTACGCAGTGGACAAAAATCTCTCTGGACCTCCTGACGGTAGTTAGGCCCCCAGGAAGCGAGCAACACCGTTGGTCTGAGCTGTGAGTTATCAGGAGCACCCACAAAATGTTTCGGTCAAATCAAATGTGACTCTTGCTCAGCTGATTTGAGAGGCGATAAATGGGTCATCACCTTGAATCTAATTTCCTCCTGGCAGTTCTGACATAACCAGGAGCTGACCGCCTGGCTGGGGCAGGCAGGGAGCTCTGAGGGTCCGAACAGACACGGGACCCCCCGGTTCTCTCACCTTGGAGGCCGGTAGATAGAGATCCCTGCTCCCTCAGAATGCCTCTCCCGTCTGTACCAAACGCCTAAGACGACTCTAATAAGAATCTCAGAGGTGAGGCCAAAGGCCATCGGGGAGCAAACATCTTGAGTGACATTCCCCTGGCCCAGCGACCACTTGGTGCTGGGCGAGTGAGTCTCTGCGGTGAGTCTCGGCGTGATCAGCCCTCGCACGTCCCAGCCCTGCACTGGGTCGCTCGAGCTGGCTTCCAGGTGGATGGAGTCACCCAGGCCACGCCCTCACGGGCCGGTTGCTGGGGCAGGGACCCACCTCGTGTTCCGACATGCTGGTGGAGCACTGGACGCCGGTGTCCACGGGGTTCCGCTCCATGAACAGCTCAGCCAGCGCGGGGTTGGGCGGGATGTCGATGTTCAGCTCCGCTTGACGGTCGGAGAAGCTGCATTGCTTCCCAAACTCGCTTCGCTTCTTGACGTACACGTACACGATCTCCATGGTGCCGGCAGCTGCGGGAGTGGGGCGGGGGGAGGGTGTGCGCTGAGGGGCCCCACCTGGCTGCTTCCGGTTCCCAAGGGCCTCACCCGGGCGACCTCTGATTCCCGGTCTGGTCGAGGGAAGGGGTCCTAGGGGATTTGTCCAGAAGCTGAGTCTGCATTTAAAAAACCCATTCATTGAGTAATAACAACAAGCTAAGCATTGCCCTACTCAGTTCTTACAGTTGCCCTGAGGTGGACGACGCAATCCGCTTTTTACCTGGGAGGATTCTGAGCGCCTTGCCCGGATCACATAGCTGTAAGTGGTACAGCTGGTCTGCCTGACGCCGAGGCTCTTACTCACCAAAGGATACAGTTTTTACTGAGCTATTACGTTTATTGGGGCGGGGGAAAGCATTGATGGCGATTAGTTGGGCTAAATTCCTTGCCACACACACACTGGACCCAATGGTGGGGCACCCAGGCCTCTCTGGAAATGCTCCCGCCCATTCCCAGAGTTCTAGGTTACTGGACTCTTACCCCCCGCCCCGCCCCCCGCCCCATCCCCAGACTCTCTGGGGGCCCCACTGGTTCCCATCAGGACAGGGCTGGAAGTCCACTGAGAGAGAAGGCTGGACCGCTTCCTCTGCAGGCGGAATAATTAGGCCTCGGAGAAGCCCTCTGATTTGTGGTCACGGTAGGCACCGTGGGGAATCACAGAGCGGGCTGGGTTCTGGCCATGCAACGCACCAGCTGCTTGACCTTGGCTGGGCCACTGGGTCATTCCGAGACCCGATATACTAGGGACACTGAGAAGCTGAAATGCCAGTGCTCCAGCCGTAGCAGAGCCGGTGGGCAAATGCCTTGCAAGGAAGTGGCTTCTCGCTGGTGCTAATTGGAAGTCTCAAAAAATGCAGGTGGCAGGTCCCACAGATGGCTCTTCCATTCACCCCAAAAGAGACCTTGACCCCTCTGATTCCTGTCCCATTAATAGACTCCGTGGAGTCTCTGTGGAGTCTATTAATAGACTCTGTGGAGTCTATTAATGCTCCTCAGTGGCTTAAATGGCCGGTCCTCTGATGCGGTTGGTCGACCGTGGCATTGAGCAGAGCTGCCCTCTCGCCGGCACCCCTAACTCTCAGAAAGTGTGCCTTTAGTGGCAAGTTCTCAAGGGCTCAGGTTGTGGGTCTACATGGAACCCTAGGCAACAAGCTCTTGGGTGAGAGGCGGGGGGTGCTGTGGGGAAGATAACTAGGAGAGCCCCACTGTGGTGGGATTGATACCTGAAGGCCTTTTGACATCTGAGGGTTTAGGGTCTCACTTGTGAGCAGGTGTTGCTAACTTGGAATGAAAAGGGGACCCGGCGGGAAAATGCTTGGAGGATGTATCCCCTGCATTAAGTAAAACCCAAAGACAAATAGCCAAACTTAGCAAACAGAAGAAATGCAACAGAAATGTGTAGGAATTCACTATACCGAGCAACTTTGTACTGTAGTTTGTGCCTAAGAATGTCCCCTGGGGCGCCCTGAATAATTAAAAAAAAAAAAAATCTAATTACATAGACTTTTCTAGGAATTCACTGGTTTTATGAGTGCCAACGGCATGCGCTCTATTTGTCCTATTATAGTTTTATTATTTCGCTTACTCATTCGGCAAACATTTATGAAAACTATGAATAATCAAGACAGCATGAAATTGGCAAAAGGATAGACGTATACATCAATAGAATGGAATTGAGAGTTCAGAAATAAACCTTTATACTTATAGTCAACAGATTTTTGATCAAAGGCGACTTGGTGGAGAAAGGGCAGTCTTTTCAACAAAGGGTGCTGTGACAACTGGACATTCATATGCAAAAGAGTGACCATAGGCCCCTACCGCACACCACACACAAAATTCATTTAAAAGATGCAAATATAAGAGCTAAAACTGTAACATTTAGGGGGAAGAACACAGAGAGAAATCTTCGTGACCCCGATTAGGAAAAAACTCCGTGACCCTGATTAGGAAAAAACTTTAACACGGCATCGAAAGTATAAAATAAAACATGAGGATAACTTGGACTTCATTAGAATTTAAATCTTTTGTACTTTAAAAGACATTAAGAAAAGACAAGCCACAGACTTGGAGAAAACATTTGCAACTCATGTATCTGATAAAAATTTGTATCAGAATCCATAAAGACCTCCTGGACCCCGGGCGTTGTGAATGCAGTTTCTAGACACTCTGTCTGCATGTCCACCACGGCCCCCAAAACAGTCATCACAGCTCTCATTCTACAGAGGAAGAAACGGATGCCCGGAGAGATGAAGGGCCTTGTCAAAGGTCACAGTCCTTAAGTTGAGGCAGAGCCAGTACCCGAACACGGCTGGCTCTAAAGCAGTGATTCTTAATCTCAGCTACACATGGGCTTTTGAAACTCACAATGCTCAGATTGAACCGCGGACTAATGAAATCAGAATCTTCCAGCAGTAACGTTAAAAGTCCACAGGTGGTTCCAGCGTACAGCTGGGGTTGAGAAACACCTGTTTTCAGTGAGGGCTCTTAATCTCTAAGCCAGCATTCTCGAACCTGGATGCTCATTCAAAATATAGAGATTCCTGGCCCCTCCTATAACGCGGAGCTATACATCTGGGACAGGGCCTAGCAATCTGGTTTTCACAATCACCGCAGAAAAATATTAGGACCAGGAATGTGAGTGATCTAACGCCCCCCACCTTCAAGGTGGCAAGGTACCAGACCAGCAGCCCTAGCTGCCGACCCCCGAAGTGAAGGACCGAGAGCTGTATGGCGGGCTGGAAGCATGTTCCTGGGGTGGCCTTGGGCCCCAGAGCAGCTGGGGCAGGGGTGAGGGGGCAAGGGTGGAGGGTTAACTCTTCGGCCCCCTTCTAATCCACATGCGTCTTCCTCGAAGATAGATCCACCCCACCCCTCCCATTCCCAGCCCCAGAACAACTCAACCCGAATCAGACTCACAGAAAGCAGTATTTCCCCCTCTTTCTTGTAGTTTAGAAACTCTTCCGCCCAGGAAAGGTAGATGCAATGGCTTGGGGGGCAGAGGGTGGGGACGGAAGCACAAATTGCAGCATGTTGCCCAAACGTGTTTATTCTGCGTGGACAAGGATAGGGCCTCGTGCAAAAGGATCCCATTCAATTAAATCCTCCCCGTCTGCCAGCACGCTGTTGAGGTACCACGGCTGCCAGACTCAGGCAGTTACGGATTGCCTGTCTCTCTCTCTGCTAAGACAATTGCTGTGAGCCAGCCAGCTCCTAGGGGACGCAAGGAGGCTCAACAGCATGAGGAAATTCCAGGAAGACAAAAGTAGCCTTTTTTAGCCCAGATCATATTTTTAACAGCTTTGCTTTCCTTCTTGGGGCTTCCCAAGGCCAAGCCAGGAGTGAGAACAGAGGCGTTGTTTTCTATCTGGAGCAGACAGAGGGGACATTTAAAGGCTGGCCCGGTGACGGGAAGACTGCTCATTCAGGGATCCAGAGCAGGCTCTTTCTCATAAGCTAGAAGCGCATGAAGATGAATAGCAAGGTCAGAGCAGGGGTCTCAGGAGGTCCCTCCAGCCACCCGCTGGTGAGACCAATGCCACAGGCTGGGCTTCCCCGAGCAGTGCTCTCTGCAAAGGGGCTTTGGAGGGAGACGGGACCAGCTCGGCTGCTCTGTGGGAGGGTGGGAAGGAGATCTGCTCACCCGTGGGAACCTAGAGCCCGTGGGGGCGTGAGGAACTCTGCGGTGAGACCCAAACACAAGAATCCCCAGGACTGGAGATGAGCTGGTCCTCCCGTCAAAAACACAACCGTCTCTGCGACCCAGGTCAGATTGGAACCTTCACCAATTTTAAAAGCCAGACTCCTCTCGTGCAATGATAATGAGCAAAGTAATTTCTTGAAAGAGGCTGCGATGACGTAAGATTAAGTGTTTTCCACGCTGGGAGTGGGGCAGGGGAGAGGTGGGACCCAGGAGCTGGGCGTGAGAGCTTAGCAGGGAGGCAGGTGAAGGGTGGCTGCCTTCCTTCCCGTCTGGGCTCCATGGTGGGTTAAAAACAGGACATTTTCCTCTTCCCTGTGTCCCTGGGGCAGCCCCCCTCCCCCACTCCCTCTATTTACAGGACCTGCCGCCTCGTTGGCGCTCAGGTACCATTATTTCCCACCCCTCCCTTCTCAGCAGCAAGGCCCCCTCTTCACGAGCCCAGCCTCCCGCAGCCACCGCAGCCACCGCAGCCCAGGCCGTATGTCCCATCCGTTCAGCTGTAAACTGTAAACCCTTTAGAGGTCTCTCTCCGCCTCTGGGAGACAGATGGTATCAGGACCCGACTGGCTGGGAGCAGGGGTGCAGGAGACAAAGTGTTTAGAACTCGCAGGGTCCTGTGACTCGGGGGTACTGGGGGAGCGAGGACCAGTGTGGGTCACGCTGTGAGCACTGGTCCTGGCGTCCCCCGCGCGGCCAGCTGTCTCCTTAAGGACGCCCTGCGGGAGTTTCTTGCACTGCGGGTGATTATTACCCCTGGGGGCTCGCGCCTTCCCTCTCTACTTTCCTCTCCAGCTGCGGACGTCCTACTCCCGCCCTTACCCTGGGTCCACTCGCTCCTCCTGCCGCTGGGCCGCTGGGGACGCGCCCGGGCCGAGGTTCCGGCTCCAGCGCCTCTCAAACGGCTCGCAGCCCCGGAGTTTACGCGTTGCCTAGCAACCCTGGCCGGACCGGTGAAAAGGGGGCGGCGCGGAGATGACACAGAGCACGTGACCTCCCACCACGACGGTTTGGAAACGTCGCAGGTCCATCCTTCCTCTCCTGGAGGTCTCTGGAGTTAGGAGGAAAATTAATCAAGTTAGCCCAACGATAAACGTTTTTCAGGTCTTTGCCAAGACGCTTATCCAAGTCTGCAAATATGCACTGAGCAAGATCTGGAGAAAATGCAAATTGTCAGCGTCTCGAAAGTCCTGAGCCCTGGCTCTGCTATGTATTTGCTTGTGATCTGGCAGGTCGTTTACTCCTTCCTTCAGTGTCCTCGGCCAGTAAATGGTAATTATAACCCCAACCTCCCCTCTACTGCCACATCCTCCATATGTCCTACAAGAACCCTAAGTCTGACCAAAGGGTGAGGATGGAGAGTAGGGGTTGGGTGTTTGGTTGGCACGTGGTAAGTATGTATTAAGTGTTTGCTGAATGAATGGATGGATACAATGAAATTTCCCATGGGATTAAAACAATAAAGTGAGATCATGTAAACTAAAAGAAGGGAATTTGGGGCCAGAAGACGTGGGTTTGAACCCCAGCTTGGCCATTAACTAATAGCATGACCTTGGGCGTTACTTTCCTTTTATAAAACTCAAACTTCCTGGTCCGCAAAGTGTGTGTGTGTGTGTGTGTGAGTGTGTGTGTGTGTGCGCGTGCACG